GCTTTCGACCAAGAGGAGATATCCTAACCTAACCACAGAGTAAGTCGGGCCATCCCCCTTCGGCTACCTGAAGAAGTCCTCTCCCTCCTTCACAAGCACGTATGGATGTGCTATCCGGATGGTGACAGGCCTGTCAGACCAGCACACCCGATTCAGTGGAAGCAGTGGTTATGTTTCCCTGTCCCCCTCCCCACTAACACACTACAAAGCTTCAGTGATAGGAAAAAAAGGTGGGTGTGAAGAGATTAAGAACTCGACCCCTCTATCCTGGCCAAAAAAGCAAGATTAACTGGCAGGAGGAATAAAAAAAGACCTTGATGCTCTACCCTTTGAGTTAGTTACAATTGGGACAATTAGGACAATTGAGAGAGGGGGCAGAGCTGAAGCAGGAGGAAGAACTAAGAGGGGTTTGACGGCTGGAAGTCTAGTCCACTTAGTTTTTGTATTGGAAGGGCTCGTCGCCGGTTTCATTGAGAAGACATGTGCGGATAAGGGCTTCTGTCACCGCAAAGGGGTCGCAGTTGGCAGAGGGGCGACGGTCTTCAAAGTAGCCCCTCCTCTCCTGGCCGACAGCCCGGGGAATGCGGATGCTGGCGCCACGGTTGGCTACGCCAGCAGAAAAGTCGTTGATGTTGGAGGTTTCGTGGAATCCAGTTAGGCGCCGGGCATTGTCCAGGCCCCCCTTGGGGTCGTAGGCACGAATGTGGTACTGGTGCCGCTTACTTAGCTTTTCAATGGCCTCTTCAATGTACCTAGAGCAAACAGGAAAGATATGGGTCTGACCTTGTCAGCAGAAAATTACCTTTCAAGGGCAGGACCAGGTAGGGGCACAAGAATGAAGTTCAACAAAAGATGGTCCCAGTATTACAAATACTCCATGAGGGCAGTGACTTGGCCTTGTTACCTGTGTGTCCCAGCACTCAGAATAGTGCCTGACACGCAGTAGAAGTCAATTTAGCTGAATACAAAGACCCTAATCACTTGATGTTCTCCCATCCAATGGCCTGGCAAGTCATCTGCCAAAGGAACTTTGCAAGATTGATATTCCCCCTTCCCAAGCTTTCTGACACACAAGAATGAAGATGGCCCAAGCAGAGGGTACTCACTTCAGACCATTCTCCTCCCGTGTGGCCTTGGTGCTGAAGTTGGTATGGCAGCCTGCACCATTCCAGTTTCCAGGAATGGGCTTGGGATCAAAGGTTGCTATCACTCCAAAGTCTTCACATACACGATGTAAGATGAAGCGGGCCACCCAGAGATGATCTCCCATGCTGATACCTTCACACGGTCCTATTTGGAATTCCCACTAGAAGGAATGAGAAGATTGGCCTTTAAAATAAAGCTATTTGGTTACCCAAACTCAGAAGCTTCTAAACCTGGTCTCTTTTCACCTCTACGCCAATCCACTCTTAAGTTTTGGGTTAGTGAGTGGTACATCAGCAGCCCTTGCTAGCAAAGTCCCCATTTGCCTCCCTACCCTGAAGTCTTCAGAGGTGGGGAAAGGGATGGGCTAGACCCAGTTACCTGGGCAGGCATGGCCTCAGCATTCGTCCCTGCAATCTTGACTCCAGCATACAAGCAGGTCAATGTACTTCAGACCATTCTCCTCCCGTGTGGCCTTGGTGCTGAAGTTGGTATGGCAGCCTGCACCATTCCAGTTTCCAGGAATGGGCTTGGGATCAAAGGTTGCTATCACTCCAGAGTCTTCACATACACGATGCAAGATGAAGCGGGCCACCCAGAGATGATCTCCCATGCTGATACCTTCACACGGTCCTATTTGGAATTCCCACTGGGCAGGCATGGCCTCTGCATTCGTCCCTGCAATCTTGACTCCAGCATACAAGCAGGCCCGGTAGTGAGCCTCCACGATATCCCTGCCATAGACTCTGTCTGCTCCCACACCACAGTAATATGGACCTGCAGAGCCATTGAGACAAAATGATTAAGAGTCAGGAAATTCAGAATATCCCGAAACCAGAAATCAGAAGGCCCGTAACACTTGCTCTCCTGAATCACTATCTCTGCCTTCACCTGCAGGCTGGGGGTGAAGAATGCAGGGGGCTCCTCCTTCATTCATGCACATCCGTCTCTGGGTTTGGGTAATGTGAAGGCTATGTCTTTACCATCTCAGCCTTCTGATTCAGAAGGAGTTACCTCATCTCAAGAGAGGGGTTTTCCTGGACAGTTAAGCACTGGGAAGGAGTACGTTCACTTCTCATTCAAGGAGACTTACCTTGGGGCCCAGGGAAGCCGTTGGAAGGCCAACCAAAGGGGTGCCCATCTGTCCCCATGAGGGTGTATTCTTGCTCCATTCCAAACCAGGGGTGCTGATTGCCTACCATGTCCATTATCCGTTTACAGGTGTGTCTTAAATTGGTCTCTAGAAAAAAAGGGTCAACACGCCATTAGGAACGGAGGAACAGGTTCACCCTGAATCCTGGTGCTGATGGGCAAACAGTCTTTGGATTCTACACAGCTGAGGTGTTTATTATAGGCTGAACTGATCCAGCGTAAACTTTTTTGTGTCCCATCACTATAATTCAGGAAAATGGCAGAAGCTGTAATTGTCCATTTGTAGGGAGACCATCTGGAAGACTTTAGTTATTTATAATTAAACTCAGTTACAACCAAGTCACATGGGAATGGATTCAGAACAGAGCAAGTGTTCACCTTATCTGCATGCTGGCCACCTCCCAAGGACCAAATGCTGGCCACCTCCCAAGGACCAAATGCCAAGCACTTAAACCCTCTACTCACAAGACAGCTGCTTCTAGTTGTCAGACTTATTCCTAGTTTCTCAGGCACTTAAGAGCCAAATCTGTAATTTTTATTGAGAATCACTTGTCCATTAGAAGGCTTACCTTCCAGGTGAGATTAAGTGCTAAGTTATATAGTATTAGCTGGTGCAAAAGAAAAATAGAAAAATGAGATGTGCTCAACTGGAAATAATCTCCAAGCCAGAAAGGAACTTTAAAGTAATACTATTGACTTCTTAACTATATCCCAGGAACTATTTTTAAAACCTATATACTGAAAAAATAAAACAAAAAAACACTCAACTGAGTCTTCATTTTTACAGATGAGAAACAAGGCTCAGAGATACTATGCTAAGTAATTTGCCCATGTTACTAAGCAAGCAGCAGAGCCAGGAAACCCATGATGATCTTGGCTTCAAAGCCCATGCCCTTCAGCCCAATGATACCGCCTCTCAAAACAAAGTCTCACTGACAGTATAGCAAGAGACTTCACAGAAGCAAGACTTCAGCTGTATTTGAAAATATGACTGGCTGAAAATCCAAACAGACGTGTTAGACTGCACAGCATGAGTAGGAACCCAAAAGTGCAGCTACAGCAAACATATGTTATCATGAACCAAGACGCTCATTATATAGTAAGTGGACAGAGAAACAAAACAAGCTGCCTGGAGTGAAACAGCCATCAATATTTGATGTACAATTGTTTCAAATGACGTGAATGTATTAACTCATTTAATTTTCCAAAGAACTTTATGATAAGAGATGGATTTATTATTTTCCCCATTTTAAAATCAGGGAAATGAAGTATAGGGGATAAATAATTTGCCTAAGTTCACTGATAGTAAGTGGTAGATCCAGGACTCAAACCTAACATTCTAACTCCAGAATCCAGGTTCTTGAAATCTACAGGCAGGCAGAAGGGCTGTGTCACTGGGGACTCCACTGGCCAATAGATTTAAGAATCCAATGCCATTTTATGCTACTAATAGAGGAGACCATAGAAGGATGGGCCACACTACTTGTTTCAAAGGGGAAGTTCAGGTGGAGAGATGGACACCCAATTCCTCATATTCTTAAAACAATTCTGAGACAGTCTAGTCTTCCCGATACTGATTCCAGAATCTCTTCTCTTTCCCCTTCACAGAATTCATGGTTTGGGGTGGGGCATCCATACCCATCCTATACACACCTGCAGGCTTTCGGTTGTACTTGAAAACTTCACAGAACACCAGCTTGTTGGGGTCCTTGCGGAAGGGGTCCCGAAACATGGCAGCAGGCACGAGATACATGTCACTGTTGGAGCCTTCAGACTGAAAAGTACTAGAGCCATCAAAATTCCACTCAGGCAACTCTGAGGTAAAAAGAGAAGGAAAAATTTAAAATGTTGGAGTTTCCCAGGCAGTACAGTGAGCCCCTCACTCACCTTTCCATCTATAAAGAGCTATATAATTTCTCTTTCCCAGAAAGTCAGTAAGGCATGAATGCTGCAATATGTAAACCCTGATGTCTGTACCTAGCCCTACAGTGCTTCCTACCTGAGTTCCAAGTAAGACCACTGCATTACTTCCTTAAAAGAACTAACAGTCACAGGAACAACCTAAGAAGGACATTTCCTCCCTAAGTAAGTCTACTGTAAACCAAGAGACAAAATGAAGTTTTCAGATATCACTACCAGAGAGACAGTCATCATTTAAAATTATTAAGATGGGGGAAGAGTGTCCAGCTCTTCCATTACGCCATCTGAGTGGCTTCCTTCTCTCATTCCCCCACTATGTCTACGGACTATTGTAGCTCAAGTTGTGTCCTTATTTTGTAGATGACAATCAGCAGGATGAGTTATTCAAGGATGCTCCCATATCACTTTCCACTTTTCCCACTATGTTTTTCCTTTTGGCTGCTGGCCTGTACCAATACGTTTTATTTTATTTATTTTTAATTTTTTCCCCCCAATATATTTTAAAGTCGGTTTCTTTGTCTCTCCAGTTGACTATGAGTTCTCTGAAGGATACCTTGTATCCCAGTGCCTGTCTGCCACACATAGCAAGTACACAATATATGCTTTATATTATGGTCACTCAGTCATTCATTCATTCAAATTGAACATTATCAGAAGAGTAAGCTGTCCTAAAGTAGGTAGGAGGTGATACTTTTTCCCCTGACCCCTTTCCAGAAGGGGAAGGGCTATGTCTTGTCCTAGATTGAAAGATGAAGGTCACAATTCTAATACAGTAACTCTTGGAGGGATATGCAATGAGACCATTTAAGAATCTCCAAAAGCTGCACCAACTAAAAGCAAATGAATGGCTGGTCCCATTTAGAGACCATTTTAGAGTATTTGCTTCACATCTACAAACCCAGTAATATAAGTATCAATCACAGTACTCAAAGAATCTGTAAACTAGATGGCATATTCAGATGAAAGCAGTGGTTTTCGAGCTGAGTTCCTGGGGGTATCTTAGAGCCAGCCAAGTAGGGATGGTCGGGTCAGCAGTCTCCAGCCCCCTACCTTCCACAAACCAGACTCAGTCTTTTCTCTTCAACATACTGGCTTACATGCAAGATTCCATTTAAATAAAGGGTTCCATTGTTGCTATGCTTTGAATCAGTGTAAGAGCTTAACGTTGACTGAAGTCTGAAAAGCCTTGCCCTAGAAACTTTACAAACAGAATAAAGAGAGCGAATCGAGTTGCTTGGTCTAAGGCTGCTGCCCACCCCCTCGGTGCTCCACTCCACCCTGCCCCGTCTCACCTTCTACACACTTGGGCTCACAGTCCAGGGTACGGGTCTTGCAGCGCAGTCCTTCTCCAGTGCCATCGATCCAGATATACATAGCTTGGACCTTCTCGCCCTGAGGCAGGGACATGTACACCTGCTTGATGCCTTTATTCAAGTGGGAACTTGCTGAGGTGGCCATGGTGGAAGGTGTTCTGGAGAGAAAACAATAACATTATTAACACCCACTCCAAACTGATCCCCTGCAGGAATGGCTCAGGAGGGCCAAGTGAATCAGAAGTCAGATTGGGAGTAGTGATCCCTCCCCTTGGAGGTTAACACACCGAAGGGTATTTTTATTCACTCCACTTTCAGAGGAATTAAAGTTGTATATCAGAAAAAACTTCGTAAGAATGTGCTGTAAAAATCTGGTCACCACCTTTTGAAGCAATTAAAGCACCAAGCCCTTGGTAGTCACTCTTGACACCTCTTTGCATGCCTGAGCTCAGAGGCTGAAGTTCCACAGCTAACGCAGATCTGAGGCGTCCCCAAGCCAGAGTCCATACTTGTGAGGACTGAGCGCTCTTCCCTCAGTGTAGCTGAAGTAGGGAACTTCTCTTCTTTAAAAATGATAAATTACTAGGGGGAAACAAAAAGATACTACAAAGCTCAGAAATAGAAGTTCACAAAACATACCTTCTCCCAATATAAGTAAACTCCAGCCACAGAAAGGCTTGGCTGCTAGGGCTTCTGAGCCTTTCATCATGGCTGTGGTCTTAATGGTGATCACCTCTCCTCCAAAAATAAAAAGAGGAAAAAAAAAACAAAAAACCCTCCACATTTAGATTTGAGGATGAAATAAGAGAGCTCACTAGGAAGATTAAAAGAACTGCACTATTTCCATCTCTAAGATGGTAAAAAATAGCTGGCTCAAGTCGGATTTTAAGGTGCACGCTGCCATAATTTCCATTAGTCTGATGCAAAGTTCTTGTTTTGGAAGACAGGCTCAGATTTATATGTAAGAATGCCAATATTCTGATATCCCACTAGAAAACTTTTAAGTAATTAGGAAATTCCCACTGAGAAAAAAGACCTGGGATTTCAAAAGCTCTGAGGCATGTTAAAAACGGTAAGCCACTACCACACAAACTTCTGAAAGAGACTCTCTGAAGCCACCAAACCAGCCTCCACATTAAGAGGAAACATTCCCTCCCTCCCTCTTTCAGAGAAGCAAGGTGGTTGGAAAGGGAACACATTGTTCTCCTCCAATGATTTGGGCAACTTTCTGTACAGTGGCAAAGCTTCTATGGGCAACCGTCCACGTTTGCCCAGCTGAAAACATGACTGCCTCTCCAACAGCCTCCCCCACCCTTCCCTCCCTGGGGAGGAGGAGCTCAATTCGTCTCAAGTCCCATGAAAAAACCAACACTTTGCCCACTGTGTCCAGAAGACTTGGTCGGTCAAATCGCACACCTCCCACCCACCATCCCTGCCCTGAAAGGCCAGGACAACCTCTGATCCCTTAGCTTCTACTAGAAGCTCCAACCCAGTCTCAACTTTCCAACCTGTCACACCTCCATCATGCCACACTATCTTTCCTAAGCCTTGGTTCTGGATCTCCTGTCTTTTCCGTGGGTCGAGGTGGACGCCAGCAGCCATGGGTACAATATTAACCGGTGCCTCCGGGGTGCCAAGTTTATGCGGGGACTGGGGAGCGGATTCTGAAGTTTTTAGCGGCTTGAGAAGCTGCCACCGGCTCCGGAGTCCTCCTCCCTGTCCCCTCACTCACCCCAGCCACAGAAGGTCAACCGTATCGTGGCGATTGCCCTCTCTAGCCCTCTTTTTAGAGTGGCGTTCACGTCTCTCCTCCTTCTCTCGGCCGCCAGCAGGGACGCGTCCGACCGCCGCCCTCCCGGTGCCGCCCTGGGCCCGTCTGCCCCCGGCCCGAGGCTCGCAGAAAGCCTCCTGGGCCTGCGCCCCCGCGGCCTTCACGCAGGATAGTTTAGCGTGGAGAGCTCCCTGTGGAAATGCGGAGCCGCGGGAACCGAATCTTGCCTTTTGTTGGGGGAGAGCCTCCCTGCCCCTTCCCGCGCGCCCGGGTTCAGCTGGAGAGCGGGAGCCCGGGGCTGGCCTCGGCCAAGGCGGGGCCGCTCAGGCCTGGGGAGAGGCCCCTCGTCGGCTCCCTCGATGGGTTTGCGGAAGTGAGCAGGACTCTGCGATTTCACATTTTTAATCCACGTGCTTGTGTTTCTATAATTCTATAGAGAGAATTCTGGAGAGCGGTAGAAATAAAGTCAGGAGAGCTGTTTGATACCGCCTTAGTCAGCCCTTAAGCAAGTCCTTCAGCCTCTCTGGGTCCAGGATTCTTCATCTGCAAAATAAAGCGGTTCAAAGAATGACCAACCTTTAGAGCCGCCCACCAGATTTGTATGCTTGTCAAGAGATGCACAGTAATTATATGTGTGTATGTAGACACGCACAACACACACATATGTGTATATATATGTATATATCTCATTATCAGTACTACTAATTAACCATTGTATTATTATTGCCTGAAATCCACTTGATGGCGTCTAGCTTCTATTGCATGTTTCAGAAGCCCCAGTATTCGAGGCTCTGCAATTTTTCTGTTTGAATACTAGGAATTCGTGCTACTAGTGCCTTTGGAAGAGGGAAGGAGGAAGTTTGTTGTTCTGGTTATTTTTTATACCACAAATATGGAAAAGAAATGATGCCTGTGACCACACACACACAACTTGGTTTCTTTGGTCAACAACCCTTCTCTTTAAAGGGTGTCTAACACTGTAGTGCTTTCAAATGACAGAGGCAGCATTCATCTCAAACGGGTTTCTCAGACTGGAGACATGTGGACTGAGTAAGGTGCCTTGCAAATTCCTTGTTAAATTCCAGTGCTGCATGTCGAAGCATTATAATGTGGTGGTTAAAGACAGGCCTTTGGGTTAGACAAAACTCTTACCAGCTTTGCGCTGGCCGAGTTACTTAGCCACAGGAAGCTTCAGTTTCCTTGTCTGTAAAACAGATAAAAATAGCTACTTTATATGTTATGAGGATTAATTGTGATAGCACCTGCAAAAGAGATTAGCGTAGTACCTGGGACACAGTAAGTGTCCAGAAAACAGTAGTTATAAGGCTGGCCAGTTAGCTCAGTTAGAGTGCAGTGCTGATAGCACCAAGGTTCAGGGTTTGATTTCTATACCGGCTAGCTGCCAAAAAACAAGAAAACAGTAACTATAATTATTATTGTCCAAGATAATTCGAAGAGATTGGATTATTTATTTCCCCACAGCAACTCAAATACGACTTTCTGACTCAGTGTAATGCTCCACCGTTAGTTTTATGAAAGTGGGCTTAGACCTGATAACAGAGTGAGCTGTCTTTATTCCATTTCTTTCTGTAAATTTTGTGAGTTTAAATGGTTGAGGAGGGGGAGCAGAGGAGTGGATAGGTGATGTTCTTGTTTTAGAAGATGGTAATTTCCAGATGCCTTACTACCAGAGCATAACCTGGAGCCTTCTACTGTACTCATCACCGGCGGCACCTAAGGTAGGGATGGCAAATATAATAGAAAATGGAAAGGAAAGGAGCAGATGTATGGGAATTCTGCTGCGTGAATGCCTGCTTCCCTTGCTAGATGTCTTAACCTCCTTCAACAGCTTATTCATGTTTGTATCCCCCAACAGTATCCAGGGTGAGTGTTCAATAAATGTTGTTTGTTGATCACATAGAAAGGACAGCGGCACTATCAAGAGAACATGTGCTTTGAGCTGCTTTTCTGAGAATGGAAATGGATTTGCTTTGATCTATTCACGTGACTGGGGGCATGCTTTGTGAGGGTTAGGAACATAATACATGACCACTGACTCTTTCAGGAGTGAACAAGGGGCCTTGTCCTCCTTGGTCAGCCCTAACTTACTTAAACCAGCTAAATTAGGGCCCAGATGAGTCCAGAGACTGACCAGGGAAGCTTAACGGCATATGAGGGAAGAAAAAGCAGAAGAAAGTCCTTTTAATTCACCCCCAGAAACCCAGACTGTACTTTTAGAGAAAAGTAGAAGGGCTGTTTCATCCAGTGTGACTTTGCTGTGTCTGCTGCCCTTTGTCCTCCTCCCCCTTCTTCCCTAAATTGCCACCCGCCCCCATTCTCCACCCCCTCCATAAAACTAGCATTAGAATGCTTGAACCCATGAACTTTTCTGTCTGATACATGCGGTATCAAAGCCGATGGGGTTCTGTTGCATGTGCTTTGAAGTCATGTTTGTCTCTCTTAGAGTAGAGTCGCTATGTCCAAGGGGTGGGTGGAGTAGGAGAGCAATATTACAGGGGAAGATTTTGTTCAAATCTGCAGAAACAGCCTGGGACTAAAAGCGTTTCTTCAATGTTATTCTGCTGCCTGAATTAAAGGCCTTATCTTGGGCGGGCTTTACCTGTGAGTTCTCCTTACACCTTCTTTCTCTCAAAGAAACCGTTGTTAATCTGCAGGTCTGAAGTCCTTCATCTAGTGATCTGAGAGCGATTTCACAGGGCCTGCATGGTTGCCTTGCACTCAGACACAAAATTGAGTAGGGCTCAAATGGACATAAACCTTCAACCATAACATGCTAGTTGGGAAGTGGAGTTTTCCCTACATATGAATGATTTCAATGAAACCTTTAAATCAGGCGAAAGAGACAAGTAAGACCCAGGATTGGGGAACACCCTGGAAACACAATCCAGAATTGTAACTTTTTTTTTTCAGTAATACAACTCCAGTTCTTTCCAAAAGAATAGACAATAGTAGAATCTTAAACCAAAACAAAAATTTTTATAAAAAAGAGGAAACAGTTCTGGAAGTTGATGGCATTATTCTTAAACCATATTTTGGGGAAGAAACAGTAGTTGGCCAAGCTTTCAAATTTCACTCTATACAATTAGGGAGGAAAAGACCAGGTTATAGTCAGTACCTAACATTGAACATGGGGAAATTGTTCATATTCTTTGATTGTTTGATATTTTTAAGTTCAATAGAGGATATTCAAAGTTCAGGTTCAAGTCTCAGCCATGTCTCTTCAGCCTGACTTGAGTTTCACTGAACGTCCTTTGAAATCATTCAAACATAGGGAATACTTCATTTCCCAAACTGCAGGTTATGATTGAAGGTTTGGGTCTGTTCGAGCTCTACCCCAAATCTCATCTCTTGAAGAGTTGGGAAGAATCAAGTTAACCTTAGCTAACCACATGGGAAAATAAGTCCTACTGAGAAAAATAAAGCAATATGATTCTAGAATTAGATCTTCATGTTATTCTGTCTGAAGGAACCAAGGCTTAGAAAACTTGTGGTAACTTGCTGAAGTCATGTTAGGGCAGTATTTCACAGCCTAATGTACTTCCAGAGTGCCCTTCCTTTGAGAGCCGTTTTCTGTTCCCCTTGCTACTGTCTCCTTAGTCTGTAGGGGATGTGTTCTTGGGCCACCAGCTCTAAAATACTGAAATTCCTACGGTACCCAGTGAGGAAAGTACAGAGTGTAGGGACCAACGAATGAATCCTACATTATGGCTCACCTGGTGACTTCTGCGTAGAAGAAAAAAATGCTGTATGGCAGGTTTTAGTTAAAGGAATTTTCAGAGGCCATTTTGCACATCTAATAATCTGTCCCTAGTTTCATTGTTTTATGAATCTAGGATTTTTGTAGATTAATTTTGTTCTGTATTCTCAATGCATATACAGACCTTTGTTCTCTAGATTGATTGAAACATTATTGAAGTTTATTAAAAAGATTAGGAAATAGCGTTCTGATCAAAAAAATTATTTGGGTCAGAGTGTGTCAGTTTGTTGGTACTTTTCCCAAAGAAATCCTCAAATGGATCCACGGTCCTTCTCTCACTCCCCACCCCCCACCCCATTGGTTGACTTGAATCCCTGTTTCATGTTCTCATGCCAAATTTTAGTGGGAAACAAACAGCTGTAGGGTATGTTTTCTGGATGCTTGGGCAATAGTCTGGTTCTGTTTTTTTCCTGCCCTCCCTTCTCCTCCCTAACTTCTTATTTAAACTGGTTCTTGAGACACTTGTTTACTGAGGTTTGAGAGGTAGAGGCTTGGGTAGGGTGATGTGAACATAGTGCCCCCTGGTGGAATTTTGTGAGAATTACAAACTTCTCCACCAAAGTTGGCCCGTTTGGGAAGTTTTTTTTTCCACTGACCTTCATGGTGAGGGCCTTTTTGTTAAAAATAGTAAGTTAATAACATGCACGTTTATTGCCTACACTGGATATTTGTTTTTTTTGTTTGTTTGTTTGTTTGTTTTTTTAAAAGATGACCGGTAAGGGGATCTTAACCCTTGACTTGGTGTTGTCAGCACCACGCTCAGCCAGTAAGCGAACCGGCCATCCCTATGTGGGATCCGAACCCGGGGCCTTGGTGTTATCAGCACTGCACTCTCCCAAGTGA